CAAGGGTAGCAAGTGCCAACAACCACTAGCTGGTAAGCGTGTCGATGGTCTCTTTCAAGCATTAATAACGAGTCAGTGGACGGCGGGTTTGACTCTCTGGCATCTACCCAGTACTAATTTACTATCGGAACGAGTGAATGATTCGAAGACAGATTGGTTGTCACACTGGCGGGATTGAATTTTCAATCTTCATAAAATTTACGAGGTACCATCGAAATTTTCAGGTATTTTGATCCATCGTTTACACGCGGATTTCTTTTAACAAAACTTTTTTTGTAATTTAATAACTTTTTTTTACCGTGTTGCCGATTGTTTAGCATTTTTTAGGAGCAGAAGATGGAAAGCAAGCGAGGGCTTTTTGTATTTTTTTTCTAAAAGACTCTTCGATGTTCATCACAATTTCGATTATTTTGCCAAGATGTATTTCTGTCGTATCATACTGCTCGTTAGACTGTTGAATTCCGTGCAGCCGCCGAAATTACACTTCTGGTCCCTAACGAGTCGCATTTCGTTATGATTCCACCCTATTTGGACCTCTTATGAAGTGAAGGCCCCCGAAACAATCCCTGGCTGGCATTTAACAATTTTAACTTCCACGAAATAAAATAGCACTGACCAGGATAGCACTTTTAACAATCGTTTCCAGATCAATACTATGAATTATGGATTCAGCAAGACCAACACTCTGACCGATTGCTGTCATAAGTTCACCAAGTTTTAGCCTAAAATGGTAGTTTTTTTTCGTCTAATTATATTGAAAAGATTGCTCGATTTTTCATCAGATTTTAGATGTCGTGCATTAGCAAGTGGTATTTTTGAGAAAGTAGGCGATCACTCAAATAATCTGGGGAGTGGCTCGCTTATATCGAACAGACGTTGGATACTAACTAAAGGTGTATTGCCCGGAGTCGAATGGCCTGACATAACTGCGCTTGGCGTGTGGGAGCATTCCAGTAACATTACTGACATGAGATATCCAGATCGATTGCCCGAGCGAACTTGGCATCCTTGATATATTGAAAATGGGCATGTCAAAGCAGATCTCACTGTACGTTCTAGTGGGTAAAACATTTCATCGTGGTCTGGTAAAAGCAACATTTTAATGTAGTAATTGGCTAAGCACACCAAGGACAATCCAAAATGGCTAAAACCTTGCAAAATGCCTCCATCAATAGAATCGTTAAGCTGGCGGTCTCTTCAGGAGATGAAGCAAATTTCAGGTTCACCAGCAGGCTAACCACTGGTTAAAGCAAACGGAAAAAGTGCGCGGCTAGGGGACCAGACTATGAACTGTAGCAATTTCAAGCATAAATTATGATAAAAATGATTTGATAAAATGATCAGATCATACTTTTTACTACCAAACCATATATTGATATGTGCCAAATGTCGTAGTTTCCTTCCGATAAAATGAAGTCGACGAACATATCCGGATCCAACGTCTCAAAATAAAAAGTAATTTTACAAATAATTTTTGCTCAAGAAATGCAGTTTCTTAAATTTCTTGTGCTTTATTGCTATGAAACCATCTGCGAAAGTCCCGTTTCAGTACGGACGAAGCGCTCGTGTATCGCTTTTCGCTAGCGATTTGTTGATATATTTCTCTACTAATCAAATTCTCGTTCACCGTTGGTCAAAGCAAATAGAAAATTTACTGTTCGCACAGTCGAAGTACTAAACTAAGAATTTCAGTTGAACTAAGCATTCGATGCTTTCAGGAGAAGATTGTGATTTTTTGCAAAATGACCTATACCATTGGAAATCATATTTCTTAGTTGAAATTTTAATTTTTAGGCTTAAAATCTGCTTTTTTCCCCATGTCAGCAAACTTTTTTGTGCTGATCGCATGGATATCTTAATGTTGGATTTTGAAAATCCGAAAAACATCTTACCAAGTGCAATAGTAGATATTGCAAGCCCCAAGCAATGTAACCAACTGCAACTGGTAAAAGCAGTAAGCTGAAATAATATTTAAGTTGTATTCCGGCGAAAATACTGCCCAATTTTTTTTTAACCAAAAAATCGCAAGATGATAAGTTACGGTGGATTCATTCACAATCAGCAAATGTTCTGCGCCTCATTGGGTGATTTTTGACTTTTCCATGCAATGGGCATTTGTAAAACTCACTTGATTGGGATGAGTTCGCCATACTCGATAGCGGTAAAACACAAAAATGACCAGTAGATCCCATTGAAAAAATCAAATTGTCCGTTCAAGAGCGGCATAAATAATGCACCAATTATCTGTAATACTATAGTTGTTCGTTGCCCTTTCCGATTTTCATTACTCAGTGTTTGTTACTATAGTACGAATTTTGAACGATATTTAAGTTTTCATAAAATTGTAACTAAAAAGTGCTTTGGCTGTCTACAAAATGAAGAAAAGAGTGGCATGATTACGCTACTGGAGAACATGCCAAATATGATTCAGCGGTGAATCAGAATCTATTTTCAGTGTCAGGTAAAAACTGTTTAAGTAAAGTGAACTGTTCAGCTTGTAATTTCCTCAGGAGATAAGGTGGAAGTGGAAGTTAGGGCCATTATCAGAGCGGTGCAGCACAAATCAAAAGAGTTAGAAATGTTGCTAGCTGCGTAGTTGAAAAATTGGACTATGAAACACAGCTGGTCAAAATCCAATTGGACAAATCATCCATAACGAGATTTTCAGGATTCCCCGAGGATGCGGTCATTGTTTTGGTTCGATTTAGTGCTGTTAAGCTGTCCATCACATAAATACTGTGATATAAAATTCTTCTGGACAAAGAATTCAATTCTGAAAAGTTACTATTAGCTCAGATCCCGGAATCCAGCACTCAGAGTTTGAGATATCGTTGAAAACTCCTGTACAGTCCATTACAGAACAATTCCCCGTGAGAATGATGGCTGTTACGAAAGCATTTGAAAGGACAACTTGATGAATGAACCGAAAAACGAAGCAAGGACTGGAAAAAATGTAATAATGCAATATCGCTTTGAAGAACAAAAAAGGAAAGCCGAAGAGTGAATGCCAGAATTACCACCTCTTTCCCCATACCTTTTCTCATCGGTCAGTCAAGCTTGTAGTTTTTGATGTGTTACGTATCATGGAACTTACCAAATAGACCAAAATAATCGCTATCAATATCGAAGCAGGCAGTGTATTGTGGTACTTTGCTTGTTCTGCGTTGCGTTTGAAATATTTGTAATAAATAAAAATCGCAAAATATTCAATGAACTTTCCAAAATTCGAAAAAATGATCATTGTAATCGGTACACCAAATAGGCCATATATTACCGCAAATGTACGGCCATTCGCTGTGAATGGCTCGATTTTACCATAACCTATAAAACAACAAAGTGCAATGCGTGCCAGAAAAAAGAACTAAACTGGTCATTTGACAAGGATGAGAGATCCATATCTATCGATGAACAAAACGAATTACTGAATGGTACCCATGCTTGTGATGCTAAAAGAACACATGGAAGGCCGCCAAAACTGTAAAAAGGGTGACAGGAGCGGCAATATGGAATTATGTGGGTGAGAGAAGCCAAGAAAAGAGAATAATGGGAAAATTTTAGCTGCACTCAGTGAAGAAGTTCTGCAATAAAAAAACAGCTTATCAAATTGAAAAAAAAAAAGATAGGTTATAAAACAATGTGAACGAAATTTTCGATAAAAAAGGTGATGCGAAATGCTAATATGCCTATAATCAATTTAACGCGACTTTTTGACATATTCTGCGGTAAATTTTAGTACCTAGAGTTGTTACAATCCCGAACGTGTAGAGTGCTGAATTCACAAATGTCCACTCTTCTCTTGGTTCCCTTTTCTCCACAATACAGGCATTGGCAATTGTTCTGGCCAGGCGGCCCACATCCGGACCGGTCAGCTGGCGCAACTGGGCAGCGAGAACTCGTTGTACACAGTCGGTCTTCGTCAGTGATCTGTTGTGACGTAGCACTGCATCGAACTGTTGCTCGAAGTGCAGAAATGCGAACGCACCGACGATAACGTATG